TCACATCATTTATAGGTACAACGTTTTCTCCCTCTTTATTCTGTATTTATTTTTGTTATGTGCTGTTTTGTTTCTCTCTTCCTTGCAAACTCTACTTAAAACATTCTTGTTCGTTCTTTCACACTCTGTACATCTCGAACATTTTGCTATCGCTTACGCCAGTAAATATGCTAGTAGTATCTACTTTTCTAACACCTTCAAACACTTTAATTTTGGCTTTGCTACCGACATACTAATATGTTGTTGAGATAACTTTAAACTATGTAGAACTTTATTTATTGTTAATGTAAAAAACTGGATGCAATATTGTAGTAAAATGCTGAGAATTCCATTCTGTATCACAAGTACTGATTTGGAATAAAGCTTATGTTATGTTATGTTATGTTGTCGTAGAACTTTGGGAATACTGGCTCAGCATGAAATTGCTTTTAACCGTGTTTACTGCTCTAGTAATTTCGCATTGTGAATGGAATGCCACCTACTAATATTTATGTATACGCGTAACGAGAAAACTCTTTCTACAAAATTCAAAATGTTTCCTTATAACATATATGATAAGATATTTCAAAGTAACCGCATCATCCTACACATATGCGTATATACATATATTCTGAAACATACCACCCAAGATTTCAAAGCATGGAATTATTGCATATAAGTCCATGGCGAAGTTAAACTTTCGACACCACTAACTACCAATCAGCGAATTATCCAATGAGATTCACGAACGATGTCGAATTATCCAATGAGGTTTACGAAAGCAGTTCAATTTTGTATAGCGCTTGATTCATTTCTCATGCGTGACCTCACAAGGCTGTTGTTGCAATTCGAGGAGGTTAGTGTTTCCCAGTATTTCCTAGCTTTCAGTTGCGCCGGAAAGAACGAATTTGATTGTGTGGTGGTAACATGACTTTAAAAAGCTAAACCAAATCAACTGATGGGTTTGTTCATCTTTGTGCTATATGTTTGAAGCCTACTAACACTAGAGAGGGTATGCTGATAATTTTATTATTTCGTAGGAACTTTTTTCGCTAGGTCGCTTCTCTCCCTAAGGATAGCAGGTAGAAAAGCAACTACTCTTATACCTATTGTTACCAGAATTGTCAAGCGGGGGTCAATTATACACACGGAAAGGCTACAATTCGCTGTCATCTCTGGGATATATTCATCGTAGAGACAACCATTCAAGTGATTTTGTGGATCCCGTTACGAGGACACATACAAATTCTAATGAAGGATTTTGGGTCAAGTTGGAAAATAGGATAAAGGCTATAAATGTATCTCAAAAGGATATCATTTATAGTCATTTGGATGAATGTTTGTACAGGATATGGTGTAACTTCTCCATTGACAGTCCCATGCCAAACTGGGAGATTTTTCTCTCACATGTTCGAGAAAGATATCCCATGTAACCTTTGTTATTATCTATTTTATGCTTTTTTCTATAAATATACATTTCCATTCATCATATATGCCTATTTAATGTGATAGGGCCGTTCGAGGTCGTTTGCTGATTGGTCGTTAGTGGCGTCGGAAGTTTAACTTTGCCGAGTCCATTTATGGACTTGGAACCACTACGACTAGAGAAGGGAGAATATAAATCTCACGTATGCTCCAAGGTGTGTTTATTAGCCGTGACAGGATTAGGCCATAGCGATACGCAATCACACTACGAAGCCGCCACTGAGTTCTTGTCTCTTGAGAATTGTGCTGACCAGATTGTGTTTCAGTCCACATGGATAAACAAATTGACCGTTGACGGTGAAAGGTCTGAGACTCAACTGACTTCAAGAACTTCTTTGCCCTCCTATCGTATGGACCCATCTTTATTTATTCAGGCCCACTCCTCGGCGTTGAGGTAAACGTCCCTTGTTTTCGCGGGCAGCTGCATAATCCGTTAGAATGATTGACTGTTATTGCTTCGGTAGACGTCCAGTGGAGTAGTTGTACGCGACAGGATCTTGTGTGGACGACAGGACGTCGTGTGAGGAAACAGTTGAAACGGCGCGATCGGAGTTAAATATCTCAACAGTCATTTGTTCATCTGGCCGAAGAGTGAGATAATACTGACAGTAACCACAACTGTAATAGTAAATGGCAAATGTACAGTTAAAGAGACAAACAGTTAACCAGAAACGAATGTATAGATACGCCACGCAACGATTGGTGTTGTAATGGTAGACTAGAAGCGAGGTGGCCAATGAGAACAAAAATGAACTTCACACTATTCTTATAGGTCCTACAATACAAAGCCTCTACAAATATTAGGACGGCAAAATTTGAACAAGATAAGCCCTACAACCTCAGGAAGCATAACTGTCTAGTTGACGAATTGGAAGCTTTAAAGCTTTTGACGGCCTGCGCCTAAATTTCGAAGGGAACAGCATTATATATTCTATGCTTTCAAACATCGTTACAGCTAATACCAAGTCTTAAGCATAACATTACCTGAAACATAGACTGTAGAATTCTTGGTGTAGCTCACACGGAATACAAGGTGTTCCATGATGGCCGACTAAGTATCTAAACACAAATAATGACTTAATTCGAGGAACACCTTGTCAAAAATCGTAGGCAGTGCTTTGCGGCTACCATTTCATTATAAAGTATGTATCTCGAGTTAGGTTTATTGACTGGCTCTCAACAACGCCATCCAAGATATTTGCACAGAATTTGCTATGTGCTAGTAGTCCGTTGCATCTTTCACAAAGCGAAGTCTGTATTGTAAGTACATTCTCCGCCGTACCTTCGACATCAGTGTTTGAATTCATACACTCACAACACATTTTTGGATTCACTGGGCTGAAACGTAACTTAACACGTAATTAAGCAGAAAATTCATTAAAGGCTAGTCAGATAAAGCCAAGAAACCCGAAATCCCAAGGTGTATACAAGAGGTCGAAAAGTATTGGATATTGGATTTTCAATTTTGTTTAGTCAAGCCATCGCACGCCGGACAACGGACAGTAGTTGAAAGTTGCGCTTACTATTGTAGTAGTTCGTGTCAGCATGTCAGAAAGGTGAGGTCGTCCATTAGTCTACCGGCTTTCAGATGTCTCTTGTGAGTGTGTTAGTCGACTTAGGGATTTTGACAGAATGATGTTTGCTTGGAGTTGTCATCCAATTGTTGTCCAACGGACAAGTATGTCGCGCAGTTGAGACAGTCACACTAATTAGAGATCCAGGTGATATTCAATGCTGATTGTGAATAAAATTGCATACTGCAATCTATATGACGGTCTTTTAAGCACTACTGAATTACTCGGTTGTGTTTTGTAGAGGGTTTTAAGGACATCCACGTGGACGTGGATCATCAGGCCTGGTGGTTGGAGAGACCGTGGTGAGTCAGGCGGGTCCTGTGGAAATGGGTGGGTGTGGATTGATCTGTATGATTTTTCGCCATTAACATTATCCACATAACTGCCATCCTCTACGTGCAAAGCTGAGAAGCGTAGAAGTATTTTAGCGCATACCTCACCAATGTCTTTCTAGTGTGGTTTCAGTTCCAGCTTGGAAGCAGTGTAACTGAGATATCCCAAAGACTGAACGCCTTTACCACAGAGTGGTGACTCGGAAAGTCATCTGAACTTCGGTGCATCAAGCTTGTTTGACGGAATTGAGTTGTCTAAACACACTGAGTAGTCGCGGTCCACTTGTGGTGTGTTTTGATGATGGTCGTGAACGTTAACTACATGTTGACTGGAGTTCCTGAGAATCTGTGTGGAACGAAGATTGATGAGGTGTGGCTAACATGGAGGATGAAGAGTGAGCGTGTTATCTGTGGTAGTATTGGTTCCTACTATCCCATGAACCATAGTTAGACATGCACACCGTAGTCAAGACCACCAGTTATTACGTTGGGGATATGCACTTCGCTTCAACTTTACTAGTCCGAAATCCCGTGTTTTCAAACCTGAGTCGTCGATGGTTGCAGTGGGATAATGATTGTATTACCTCTACCAGACAAAACAGCAAGTAAATATGTACGCCATCGATTGATTCATTTAACTTGTTTGTTCGACTCTCTTAATCCCCATCCCCACCCAATGACTATCGTTGGTGAATTGTAGGTCAGATTTGTCAGCTGCGATTCCACACATAAGATGAGAGTAGGGGAAGCTATTCGACACCTGGTTATCGTCAATTCGACCTCTGATTTGGCGTTGCAAGGTGTGAAGGTCATGAATTTTGTCCTGTTCATTTAGCCACGGTGGTTTGCAGTTGTTTCATGAATGATGAGTTGGCGAGCAGTAGTATTGTGTCTGTTGTGTTCGGATATGTATTATGTAGTCCGCTGTCATCTTCCAGATTGATTTATCAGTCGGCCTCCACAAATGACAGAGTAGCACTGCTCGTATTCGTGGAGTGCATAACGACTAATATGTTGTTTTTCACCCTTCAGGTCACGCGTTAACAATTCAGGACCGTTGAAGAAGCCTGCTGAAAGGGTTATCCAGCGTAAGTTTATGAGTGCTCACAATAACTCGTAATAGTTCGTCTGGTTCTGTGTGGAGTTCCAATGCACCTAGTGAACGGGGTGATATTCCGTCGTCTTCGGAAGGCGAAATTGTCTCGGAAGCTGCCCGCCAGAAAAAGAGCCATCCAGTCCAAAAGGCTGTGTGAGTACTATTCCTGTTGTTCCTTCAGATAACACGACATGTTTTGTCTTGATGCCTAACTAGCTTTCGTTTCTTTGTTTCAGGTATGACATATCTACGGGGATTTCAAAGTAAGTTGACGTCAAATAAACTAACAGTATTTGTCTTCATTGCTTCCTTCGGTAACGCTCCCGAATTGACTATTTTTTCAGACTGAACATACAGAAGACACTCAGAATACCGAATAGACCAGACCAAGGAGGTACACTCGGCAAGAAAGTCAAAGTCACTTCAAACTGTTGGGATTTGACATTTCATCACAGAACGGTATATCTCTATTTTGTGGAAGCCAACTCAGTTCATCGATTGGAAGCTAAGGAGGGCAGTAAAACTGAGATAAGAATGCCACCTAAAGAGTTGAGATCTTTAATTCAGCAGGTAGCTGACTCGTAAGTGCCATTGTGTTATTGATCAAATGGATTGTTTACATATGTAACGGAACTTTCTGTTCCTTAATTATTAAGCTGAATTGTTTCTCTGACTTTCGGTCAAGTATTGCTTGCTTGTCAACCAAAGATTCGTACACGTGTAGGATAACTTGTTCCATGTCCCACACCATTTATTATGTGACTTCGGTTACTATCAGCGTTGTTTAGAAAGAATTGGTGAAGTTGTTGGTTATGGCTTCTATTGAGAGCAATGGTATCTATTAATAAACCTCATGCTAAACAATTATGCTTATTTCACTCGCTTCTGCAGTTTACCAGATACGATCATATACGATGGCGGTCACGCCATATACTCTGAAGATCCGTTACCTGGTGTCACAACGGACCCCGTAGAAAGAGAGATTGAGATCAAGGAGCCGTTTGGTCGGGACCGCCTTCTTCTGAAGTACCGGATTATGGAAGTGCAGAAGGTATCTAGTTCCGACATCAGCCATTTCATAACGAATCCGAAAGCGACCTCTATGAACATGCCTCAGGTAAGGCTGAATATGTTTCATATTTGTCTCTAGGAATGTATCAGATTGTTAGACTGCATCTTGAAGACGGTGTCAAAGCAGTCGTTTGTATCCCTTGGACGCTCAGCCCTATTTCAGCAAACACCAATTAAAGTGGTTATGGATAAGCTTTTTACTATTCATAAGGGTTTCATCAGTAGTGTGCGACCCCAGTGGAAAGTTCGTGTCAACTTGGATATGGTAAGTAGTGGTTCACCTTCTTTTTTACATATAATCACAGACGTGCAAGGCCTACTTTGTATCCGGGAATCTAGCGGACGTCATGTATTCGAAGTATGGAGACGATATGGTTAGATGTAGCACTCAAATGGCATACGACTTGAGAAAGATACGAGTTGAGACTGATAAATTCTACAAGAGCGATGATGGTATGCATGTTTTCTGTTATACCTCATACATTTTAGGACGTGCATATTCCCGACGCTTCACCGTGCACGGGATATCATCACTACCAGCCGATCGTTTGATGATTGAGGAGTTGAACCAGTCCGTGGCTGAATATTTCAAGCAGCACCATCATATCACTCTGAAGTATCCAGAACTGCCCTGTGTGAAGGTAAATTTTCATTTCAGTGATTATTTTTGTAGGTTGATCAAAAGCGTGAAGTGTATATGCCGATGGAACTGTTAAACATTTTGCCATATCAAGCTCCTAATGCGAGTAAAGCCGATATTGCGAGTGAAGTTATCCGTTGTGCAGCAATTCGACCACAGGAGCGCTTCAGAGAGCTGGAGAATTTTGCTAATAATATGCTGAAGTAAGAGTTTCAATTATGAGTTGTTACCACGGGTCAGTACTAAAGTGTAGTGTTGCTTATTGATCCAAGAGTTGAGGGTAAGCATGTTGAGATAGACGAGCTTTGATGATTGATTTCTTCGACATTCCATGAAGCTTATAGCTCAACACTCACTGTTGTAGCGCATTAAAAGGATGGTGAGAAAGTAGAATGAGCAGTAGGTTACAATGCCAACCCTGGATACATGTGGAGATTTCCGAATTATCACACTTAGCTTCTATAGATTCTTTGGTGATGTTAATGGAAGAGTCCTCTAGAATGGGCGGAGAAGTGCTCAAGATAGTGCTACTTTAAGTTGTAGTCGATGAGCTATGGATCTGTAGGTCCTTCTAACTACAAGCCAACTCAGTTTTCCCATGATTGGAAATTCTAGTCTTCATTGTATTCCTGTAAAGAGACAAGTTGAAGGTGACAACGGAAGCACACTACTAGACGAATGATTGGTTATAGTTGTATTTCATTGGTTGTTTACGCACAGTGATAAGCTTTCGATTTCTAGCAAAATTGATACTAGCTATTGGAATTGAAATACAATTACACTTGATTGATGTATTCCACAATGCGTAAACTTCTTACAGATATTATTAGATGAGCGCTTTGTGAACGTTTTGATGACAGAAATCTGCTGTCCGTTGTGTCAGCCGTAATTTTGAAATTTGAATAAATGTGAGGCAAACACCACAATCCTTCTCGATAAGTGCCGGAGATCCTTGACGTAACGCCTACCTACAGAGTTTATTGTTTGTTTTCCAAGCATGCAAGTAGATACGACATACACTGTTTTGTACATCGATTCGATAAGGACGCAGAATGTGGCGGTGTCTAGTTGGTTATAGTGGGTCACGAGTTGTATAATTGCACGGACCTGCGACTAGTCGAGCACGACAAAATTAGAGTAGTGTTTGTTGACTGTGTGACAGTGAAGAGGACTCAATTGTAGGGTAGGTATTCTTGAATGCAAGTCTGGAACCAACTGTGTAGGAAGGTGTGTAAACGACGTTAGCCTGGAGCCAGATTTTATGATTTACTCAATGCATTGTTTTGTAATTATGAGGGTTTCTTTTGACATGACATTTGTTCCATTTCCTCCAAGGTCCCACCCACTGATCAAACAATTTGGTTTGGCGATTCAACCGAGGCCAGTGGAAGTTAACGCACGCGTTATCCAACCGCCAACTGCTGGTTTTGGTCGTTCCGGTGTACAACAGCTGACGGCAGGTAGTTGGAGCACGCCTGGCTTTCTTCACCCTGCCGGCGAAGGAGTAGAAATAATGTGGGCTGTACTTAGCATTCCACCTAATCAGGTATGTTTTCTACTCCGGTTCAACATAAGATTAGTGCTGTAACAAAGTTGAGTTGTACAATCACTTGGGCACCGAATTGACATTGTAGACTTGGTCATTTGTCGATTGTATCAACATCGAAGGGTACCTCGCCTAGTTCCATGACAGCCCACCTACTTCATTGTTCACTGCATTACGTCGGTGGTAATATCATCATCTTTTATTTGTCAGTGTTTAATGCTCTGTATACAAAGAGGAGGTTTTGTCTGCCTTTTAATAAAGTGAAAGAAATGCTGTCAGATAGGTAGAGTAGCCTGAGAAGTGTGCACTTAATTCTGGTTTGTTGTCAAAAGGCATGTGTTATTGTTGAAAACAGTTAATCGCTTTTATAAATTTGGACAGTGTTTTTAGAAGACGGAGATTATCTGAAAAGTGAGATGTATTTGCGCGATACATTTGGAAGAATTATTATTGTCAAATGTAAACGCGAGAACTGACTGCTTCATCTCCTTGCCATGTTTTCTTCCTAGCGGTCTCATGGTCATGTTCAGAAGGTGATATCGGAATTGCCTAGAGCGGCCAGTCGCTTTGGTGTTCGGTTTAGCCCTCGACCGATTGTGGCACAGTGTCCGAGAGGAGAACTTAACAGGAGGTTCGAGGAGTTTTCCAGACAAGGCTGTGGCTTCTTACTTCTCATCTTGTACGATGAACATTTCTACTCATCGATTAAACGTCTGAGTGACCTACAAATGGGGATTCGGACTCAATGTGTACGAGCTCGTACTCTGGACAAACCGAACGTTTTCCGTAAGTAATGCGTGTTGTTCACATGTAGCCTTCAGTGTGTTTCTGTATTTCGATGAGTTTAATTCGGTTTTCTGCTTTCAGCGAACCTGTTACTCAAACTGAATGGGAAACTCGGCGGTGTGAACTGGCGAATTCCTGACCTAATTAAGGACAGTCAAGAGTTGGTTATGGTTTTTGGAGCCGATGTCACTCATCCTGCGCCTACACAAACTCATCAGATTCGAAAGTCAGTAGCTGCTGTTATCGGCAGTGTTTCACCCGATCTTATGAGATACGGGGTAGTTATCCGTCAGCAGGCAACCACAGAAAAGGGGAATAAGGCAGCGAGAGAAATAATCGATGATATGCGTCTCAGTGTCAAGGAGCTACTCCAGGTTAGTTTTCATCAATGACCAACTCTACTGACTCACGTTCCCCTTTTTCCCGTTGTACGCTTTCGTTCTTCCCTATTATTTGTGTTTTGTTGCAGCTTTACCTGCGTAACACGAACGGGCGTTTCCCGACGCGCATGATATTCTATCGCGATGGAGTTTCGGAGGGCCAGTTCGAAAATGTGCTGGTGGAGGAGCTGTGTGCAATTCAACGGGCTTGTGCAGATGTTCGTCCTGGCGAAGAGCCTGCTATCACTTATATTGTTGTGCAAAAGCGTCACCATATTCGATTTAGACCATCTGACCCCAGGTAAGGTATTTGCTCATGATGTTTCCTGTGTACGTACTACACTTTATTCGTGTCTTAACGGTCTGTTTGAATGCTTTGTTAGGGCAAGAAACGTGGAGCCTGGAACGGTGGTTGATACAGATATCACGCATCCCAGGGAATTTGATTTCTACCTCTGCTCTCAGGAAGGGATTCAGGTAAATTGTTTCTTTGTGCTAATGCCATTACTTTTAGGGTACATCGAAACCTGCTCACTATCACGTGTTGTATGATGATAGTAACTGGACATCGAATGCTCTTCAGATGTTCACCTATCACTTATGCTACGCGTACATGAGGTGTTGCCGTAGCGTCTCGTATCCAGCGCCGACTTATTATTCTCATTTGGCTGCATTTCGGGCACGTGAGTGGTTATCGGACATAGAGAAACCAGAGATTCTGTTAGATGCTGGTCGTTTCAGAGTTCACAGCAGTCAAGTTGACGGCATGTTCTACTTATAAACAGATTTTGTTATTTTCATATAAATTGTATTTCCTTTTGAATCCATCTTCCCTTTTAATAATAATAATAATAATAATAGTATGATGATAATTATTTACTTCATCCGAAAAGCAGTACTTGTGATAGAGAATGGGATTTTCAGCATTAATCACAATATTTCATCAAATTATAAATGAAATTAATCACATAGAAAAATTTCCCAAAACATGCAGCATATAAAATGGAAATAATAATAATGATAACAGCTAAGGTAATAGTAATAATAATACAAGTGAAAACTTCCGTTGGCCTCTTTCAAACAGTATTGTCGATGAGGTATGGTAATCCTAGAATGTTTGAAAATATTGAATACAGTGTTCTCTTTACATGATATGGTGAGGGGGGAAAACAAAGATCACAGCAGTCATAGACAAAAGTTGGTGTTTGCAATTATTAAAGTAAAACAAAGAAGCAACAGAACCATAAATATAATAGGAATAATAAAAGTAAAACTTGAAGGTATATAAGGATGGATGGAGGAAATTGTTTATTTAAAAGATGAAAGAAGGTTAGTTAACTGTAGTTTGTTAGGGTGATGATAAGGCATCGACGTAATACTCTTAAGAAACCTTGAACACTTCACAGTTGGATGGTTGGTTCGGACATGTTTTCTGGGAATAGGTGGCTGACTGACTGCGTTATAGGTGTTCTGACCTCTATGTCGCTGCTGTTTTGACGAGGAATCGGTTGATGAGGCAGTGTCAACATCTGGCATTGATAAGTCCATTAACGTGCGTGTTGTGAGTAAGAGTAAAGAAGGTGTAATTTCGAAGCTAGTTGTCCGTACTCTTGAGCAGGGATTTCGGAGATGCATGTCTTCTGTGGCAATGTGAATTCCAATAATTTATTTGGCCAAGATGGTGGTTAATCTGAATAGTTCGAGCGTTTCTCGGTGGATATCACAGCTGTTAAGGTCGATTGATCACTATTTGCGTAGTGAATGATTACCTCAAATGCTGTTTTATTTTACTTAGATAAGAACACAGTATTTATGTAATGGGTACCGAGTGTTAATTGCGACATCGTGATTGATTACAATTCCCAGTTGTACGGGATGATGACGTGCTGAGGCACTCATTCGTATGATCTTAGACCCCACGTAAGAAATCGTAGGCTATCGACAGACGCCAAACCAGCACAACTATGCTTCATGGCAGACGTTGGAATGAGACAAACCAGTGTACTGTACTTTGAAGAGCCTGAAACTCCGAAGTGATGCAGTCATTGGCCTTCGA